GGGAAAGAAACAGAATAAACTAAAGACAGGCATGATGTTAATAATCAAAAGAAACTCCAAAACGTAACTTTCTACATCCAAGCAATTTCCATAGTCAGGGTCTGACTAACGTTACAAGTCAATCACAGATTCGACGCCTATTCAGTGCATCTTCAAAGCGGCTGCACGAACCTACCCTCATCTCTGTACTCATGTCGTTCTCAGGCGCAGGATAATAATCCTCTCTCAGCTGTACATCCCTTAGGTTTGGTATCTTGAGGAAAAAATTCATGAAATGCTCATGAGTTGTCCCGTGAATGAAGAGCTTCCTCAAAGTGTAACATTCCTGTAGCAAGCCAGCAGCTGGAAGAGACAAACTCCTCTGGTTCACATCCTCATCTTGCGGCGGCCAGTAATGAAGCTCATTCAGACTCAAACTGCCAATGCCATTCAGAAAGAACCTCTCCCACAGGCTCAAGTCCATTTGCCCCGATGGTGCTGTGAGAACATAACCTTTAGTATCACCACAATCCAGCTGCATCTTCAACAGCTGAGGATAACAAGCCAGAATGCTCAGACCAAATTCGCGCTCTGCTGGCTTCTGCTGCCCCCTGCAATCTCCTTCCACCTTGATGCGAATCTCTTCCAAACTTGGACAATCCTCCAACCCTGCCACTGGCAATGGAGTCAAAAGATCACCAACTTTTATCCAAAGTGAAAGATACTGCAGCTTGTCCCAGCTCTTGCCATAGAAACCATTGCCATTGCTCTCCAGAAAGGAATCATGAACCCCCAGTTCATTGTTGCATCTCTGCCTCTTCCTTTTGCCTGTGTTCTCAAATTCTCCACCCCCAAAGTAATCCATAAACTCACCACCATCACCCAGCTCATCCAATCTATTCAGATCAAAATTAAGAAACCCTTGTCCTAGGCTGTCACTTTCCTTCAACCCATTCCACACACAATCCACATGGAGCCGCTCAATCCGGTCCCGAATCGGCTCCAAAGCCCTGAGAGTCGCGGCGGTGTCGAGGTTTACACAACAAGAAACCTTGACATCAACCAGAGTCCTGCCAAGCAAACAAGCCATGGTCTTGAGCCCTTTCTCCGTGACAAGCTTGCAACCCTGAAGTTCAAATCTAACCAACATGCAACACCCTCTAGCAATCTCAATCAACCCCATGTCATCAAGGTCCGCGCAGTTAGCAACAGACAAGGATTGAAGCCCGTGGCAGAGGGCAATTCCGTCAAGGCGAGAGTCAAGGGCCAAGCAAATCCCTTGAAACTGACCCAACTTCAGAACCCTCAAATTAGGGCACTTGGAACTCAAAACCTCCAAGGCAAAGCTACTCTCCCTGACATTTTTACAAACATCTAAAACCAGCTCTTCCAAAAGAGGAAGCCCGGAGAACAACGCCACAAGCGTGGCGCGGCTAACCCTAGCGTCTTCTCCGCCAAAACCCTCGTCCTCTCTCCGGTTCGAAAACGACGACGTATCGGCGAGGTGAAGCAAAGAGAGCTTAGGGCAATTGGAAGGGATAGCCAACAGAGTGTCATCCCCAACGAACCCTATATATCTCGGATCGAAGGTGCAGGCCACGAGAAAGTGCTCCAAATTAGGGCACGAGGCACTGATGGATTCGATTTCGTGAGACTTGAATCCCTCCGTGAAGGAAGTTGTTAAGAGGTTGAGGCGGCGGAGCGAGGCGGCGGAGGCAGGGTTGGCGGCAAGCACCGGCGGGAGGTCCTCCGGCCAGTGGTAGAAAGACGAGAGGTCGAGCGAGGCGAGGGAGGGGCAGTGAGAGAAGAGCGCGGCGAAGTCGGATCCCGGCAGCGATGTCGGCGGGCGCTGGTGCCAGCGGACGAGCTTGACGCGGCGGAGGTCCGGCCAGGGGGAGAGGAGGAGGAGGTGGAGCGTGGCGGGGTCGCGCGCGTAGACGGCGAGCGAGGTGACGCGCGGGAAGGCGTCGCGGAGGCGGAGGGCGAGGAGGCGGGGGTCGACAGCGGCGGCGGCGGAGGAGCAGAAGAGCGCGTGACCCCACGGCGAGAGGAAGGAGAGGTCGAGGTGCGTGACGTGCGTGAAGGAGGCCGGGATGAGGTGCAGGTCACGCGCGTTGCCGCGGAGCGTGAGCGATGTCCGCGTCTTGCGCTCCAGGCGGAAGAAGCTGTGGCACACAAGGGAGAGCGAGTTCCGCGTGCGCGTGTCGGAGACCGCCGCGAACACCTTGTGCAGGATCTCCTCCGGCAGGTGGGCCACGGTGGTGCCGTCTCCCATTCTCCGGTAAGACAATTGGAATTGGAATTTATATTTTGAGCAAAATAAAAAATAAAAAGGCAGAGACTGGGTGTGTGATGTTAGAAATAAGTGAATAAGGGGATGGTGGTATTAATGGGTGGAGACCAAAGAGTAGTACTACTAAGAGGAGAGGGGTTTTGTTAGGAGCATGCAGACCCACGTGAGAGAGAGTGAAAACGAGGGATAGATTGGTTTCTAGTGAAAGCCAGCCAAGAGAATGGCTTACCAAATCTGTCTGCACCTTACCAAGGAATACAGACAACACCATACAGGTTTCATTGGATGGGTTGGACTTGGGTGAGGGTCCACACTCCACACACCATCCTTCACTTCTACTTCTACTAATATATCCACTTACTTTCTCCTTTTTTTTCCCTTTACTACTCTCTTTATTTTTCTCCTTTCGAATCTTGCCCACCTTTTTTCCTATTTGGCTAAGGCCTAATCTAATACAATACCTAATGCTTTTCTATATTTGCTCTTTCCACTACTTATCAACACTCACCCCAGTTCCACTTCCACCTCTTACTTACTTCTCATCCCTAATTTTTCATTTAATACTCTACTTTATTTTTTCCACAAAACCAAAAAAAAAAGACTTGTACCTGGTTATATATTATTAAATTTAAAGTAAATCTTAAAGATAATTCTTTTAAAATTAATAATAACATTTTTTTATAAAAATATATTTTAGAGATGAATCTTAAAAAATTAATTATATTTGCATATCTTTTAAAGATAAATATTTTAAAATAAATTTTTAAAAATGAAAGTGACTTTTAAATTATAAAATTTTAAAATAATTATATAAAGATTAATATATTTTTTTAAAAAAATCGAAAACAATAATTTTGTTGACCCTAGTCAATAAGAAGCAGGGTCTCTTTTTGTGAGGTAATAGATGAGTCCACGTTGGTTTGGTTGGTTGTGTGCCGAAATATTTTGTTATGATCCACAGGGTGGAGAGAGAGAAGTGATGGTTGGTATTTGGCTACACGTGAAACTGCAACCTACCGACCAACCTTGCATGCTTTCCTTCTTCCAGTTTCTTCACTGACACAAACTCTATCAAAGTCCAAAAGAAATCCAATCTTTTCTCGAGTCTTACTCACCAAACATTAATCAATAAATTAATAAATAAAATATCTTCCTAATAAAATAGGTGATTTTACTATTAGTCAGAAATTTACTAGAAGTAAAAAAAATTAAATAAAAAATAGTAAGAAAAAGATTTGAAAGTTGTTGTACAAATAATTGTTCAAAAATTATATATATAAAAGGTGATTATCTTTATATATTATTATAGATTTAAATATTATAGTAAATATAATATACATTAATAAATTAATATTCGTTGATTTAACTAGTATTGTAGTTAGGTATGACAATGGGGCGGGGCAGGGGCAGGTTTTACGTTCCCCGCTCCTGCTCCCGGCAGGGTTCGGGTTTCCCCGCCTTGCTCTCGTCCCCACTCTTATTTTTTTTCTTTTTCTTTTAAATAAATATGAATAAATTTAAAAAAAATAAAAAAAGTAAATAATATAAATTTTTACATATAAATAATTTTAATTTTGGTTTATATATATATATATATAAATTTAATTATATTATTAAGCGGGGAGGGGGCAGGGAGGGGACGGGGCGGGTATTAACATCTTCGTCCCGCCTCCGATTTTATCAATCGGGAAAAATTCGAACCCGAACCCGATAAACACTGGTTTTCCCCGTCCAAATCGGGGCGGGTTCGGGCAGGTACTTCCGAGGCGGGTTAGATTGTCATGCCTAATTGTAGTTGATCCTCAAATCTTAAGACCTCATATTTGAATCTTGAATTTAATAAAAAAATGATTCTGAAACAGATAATATTAATACAGTTAAGACTTCGAAGGAGACTAATTTTCAACAAAGTCAGTAGATACTCCCGCTAATATTATAGTACCAAAAAATATACATTAATAATATTTTAATTAAAATTACCTTTTATTTTTACTTAGTATTTTAAAAATATTTATTTTCATTTTTAATTATTATAGCTTTTAGTTACACGACATTTACTACTTTTCTTTATAATAGTTTTTATATTTAAATATTAAATGATTCAAACTATATTTAACAAGCTAAAAAACAGATACATTTTGTTGAAAAAAAATAATTAGATAGTTTAGAAGTGTTAAGAGTGAAATTCACAATGCTGGCAGAAAAGAGAATAAAATCTTGAATAAAAAATAATGAAGGAGAAAGAGTAATTTGGAGGTAATTAGTTACAAGATCCATAATTATTTATTTTTCTTATAGTAAAAATAGTATATAGGAGATGATACTTAATGATTATCGGTTAAGGATCAATAATATCTATAATGATTGTACTAAAAATGTATCTTAATTTATTTTATTCTATTTTATATTTTCACAAAATTTTAAGCAACTTGTTACTCGCATTTTTAAATTTTCTTATATGTATTTATCAAGTCTAAACAATTTTTCTTATTATTATAAGCAATTATATCTTAAGATACTATTCTTAAAATTAAGTAACTAAACAACATGTTACCTAAATCATCTCCAATTAGAAAAAATAAATAAATTACAGTTGCTTAAATTTAATATATTCTTAAAATACAATCATACAATTATTGTAGATGCTTTTACAAGAAAAAAATAGTCTTAAAAAATATATAAATAAAGAAGGTATATCACAAAATTTATTATATATATAAATATAGATATATTAGTTGAGATAAAAAGATACTAGAAGGAGTTGAATAATGTCTATTAAAAACTCAACATTTTTTTGAAACACTAAAATAGTAATAAAACAGTAAAAGAGTAGATAAAGATCAAGCTAAGAAGAACACAATGTTTTTACATTGATTTATCTCAACCACCGAGTTTACGCCTAATTTTTTATCAACATGATCAAGTTTCACTATCTTTTATGAAGATACAAATCTTCTTTCATAAGATACTTTTGGTTCAACCTAAGTATTCTTTGACTTGTTTCTTCAAACAACTATCCAAATATTATTTTAACACAAAGTTTCTCCAAATTTCAACAATCAAATATTCTTTTACAATGAAACCTTTCCGAACTTTAACAATCAAGTATTAGTTTACCGTTAAGTCTCTTCAAACTCTATCAATCAAATATTCTTTTACAATCAAGTCTCTCCAAGCTCAAAGCAATAACACAAAATTAGATTTGGGTAAGCTAACAATGTTATTTCATCTTAATATCAAGACGTGATATAATCAGTGAAGTATAGAATTTTTTACAAAAAGAATGTACAATGATGTTTGTGTAAATATCTCTCTCTTCTTCATCACATCTTTATGAATTTTCAAGCTTATTTATATGGGTGTTTTATGAAGTTGATTGTTGCAAATTCTTAAACATCTCACATATACTTGTTTTGCTTGTCTTCATCTTTGTTCAGTGTAGAGAAAAGTATTTGTTGGTGCATTAAATGATTGCATTAAATGTACTTTACTAAATTATCACTTTTTATTTGATCGATGAAGCTACTTATCACATTTTAAGTACAAAAAAAAAAAAAGGAATTATGCGTGTGTCAATTTGATGCAACTTTTTCTTTTAGTTTTTTTTTGTGTTTTACGAGATATGTTATTGCTTTTTCTGACACAAAACATGTCTTTATTTAGTTTCTTTAATGAATTGTAAATATCAAATAAATTTTTTTCTATTTGATTTGTTAAGGAATTATGTAGAGAAAGAAAGATGATTTTATTATCAAATATCATAAATTATATTTATACAAAGCATTTGTCTTATAGATGAAGTGTTTCGTGTATGAGACTTAATGTCCTAATAACTAATTGTCTTCATAAATCGTCTTACTTTTATTCATTTTAAAGCTTGATCTGAAAAACTCTTCTCTCATAAAAACTTCCATGCTTATTATCATAAAAACTTAAGGCTTGAGAGGTATAAGATTGTCTTTTAAAAATGAGTCATGGCAAATTAAGTTTTTATAGAATTAGAAAATTATTCGATATTTCATTTCATTAATTCAAATTAACGTATAATATATTTTTATAAAAAAATATTTAATTTGAATTAATATAATGAAATATCAAATAGTTTTAAAACAACCACTAGAGCCTAGTGGTTGGGTGGGGAGGGATTGGGATAGTTAGAAACATGAGAACTTAGGTTCAATCCTCATTGCGACATCTTTGTAATCTTTCCTATCTTTACAAAAAATAAAATAGTTTTAAAATTTTGTAAACATTTGTAAATTTGATATATTTATTAAATACTTTTGGTTAACGGTTGAATTGTTAAAATTTAATGTAGACTATAAATTATTGAGTAGAGTAAGTGGATTAGTCCTCATATATATATAAAGGAGGGATCAAAATACTCCAAAAGCAACTTGGTAAAGTTACTTTATTCAATAACTCATAATGTATGTTGAATTTCAATTATCTAATTGTTTAATTAAAAATTTTCAACGTATAAATCAAGTTAACAAATTTTTAATAAATTTGAAAACCATATGATATTTAATTATAAAAATTCAAATCAACATATAAAAGACTTTATGATTATATATCAATTTAAATTAATGAAACCAAGTATGAAATAATTATTAATTTTTTTAAAAATTTTATTAATTTAATTTATGCATTCAAGTATAAAAGACTCATAATATATGTTAAATTTTAATGAGCTAACTATTAAATTAAAAATTTTCAATATATTGATCCGGTTTACAAATTATAAAATTATTTAAAAAATACTTAATATTTTATTCCATTAATTTAAACTAATAAATAATCATAAAAATATTTATATATTCTATATAAAGAAATATAATATAATTTTTAAATTTTTTAAAAATGTGTAGAAAAAGAACATGAAACACACTTTTTATTATACAAAAGAGTATAATATCATATTTTTTTTGGAATTGCTAATCTTCAAATTTTTTATGTGAAAACGGTATACTTTTTACATTTTAATTAAAAATAATTATATATTGGATTACTAAATATTATTTAATATTTTAATAATTCAAAATTATTAAATTTAATAAAAGAATATAATCCTTCGTAACTTCACATTATATGAATTAGAATTCCTTTGTATATTAAATTAGAGTAGCTATATGACCAAATTAAAGTATTTTTAGGTATCATTCTTTAATAATAGTTGTTTTTCTTCAATAAGGATAAATTTTTTTTTAGTTTTTTCATGACTTCTTATTTTTAATAATATATCATTTTCATCTAAATTCAACATTACTTCCAAATAAATTATCAATAATTTTATCTATTTAAACTTATATAATTTATAGAATAATTTAAACAAAAGCAATTTTATGACCCA